TTTCCTTTGCTTAGTATTAACTGCGTAAATGCGCAAATATGACTTTTTTTCTGCATGATAACCACGAAATGGAAATGTCTTTATATGCTCTATTTCAAACGATTTTATCGCATTGGAGAGGATGCCTCTTATTTTCGCCTCAAACGTATCTGTAGATTCCTCATCTGGTACGAGAATATTAAAGAATACTTGAATTCCCGTTATTGAAACAACTGCTTTCTGACCATTGATGAAAGGGCCATAGAGACGCAATACATACCAGGCTTGACCATTTGTGAATTCAGTAGACTCTTGCACATCAATGGCCATAAATGGAATATCTTGATGCTTAGATAAAGCATCTTCAAGAATTGCTGTTAATCCTTCATTGTTTTCTGTAACTAAATTGTCATGGGTTGGAATACCCATCAAGTAATTTTTACCAGAGTAACGAATTACTTGTCTTTTCATTTTATCTTTTTTAGCCTTTGGCTGAAAAAGGGCAGGGCCATCCAAATTCTTTGAAAGCTTGGATTGGGTCATGGTATTTTTAGATAACTTTTGAAAGATATACTATATTCTAAACTCAAAATATATTGCCCTGGGAAAAAAGTTTAAATAAAAATAATTATAGAAATTTAAAAGATATCCAATGAGAGATGAATTTATCTGCCAATATCTTTCTAACAAAGGAAACATGTGTGGACGGGTTTGTGATTAACAAGAGGGGTGCAAAATCCATTGGAAAAGACATCAGCGAAGCTCTTGCAAACAGTGTAAAAAACCCACTGTGTCAATGCACGAGATGTGTAATTTACATGTAGATAAGTATCATTCGAAAACATATTATTATAGAAAGAAGCTAAATGCCTTAGAAAAATCTGCCTTAGTGTCTTAGAAAAAATCTGTCTTGGAAAGTTTTTGACTTCCAGAGGCAGAAGAAAAATAGCAAATCAACTTTATTGGGTCGCTAGAATGGTTTTTCAAACACTCTGCCCTAGGTGCTCTAGGTGATCTAGAAAATATCGAACTTCTTTATCTTTTATTTTTTATTTTTTATCTATGGATATAGCGAAAATATAGTATACATATAGCATATATATAGCATATCAATATATATACCAAAAAGATACTATAGAAAAAACTCATTTTTTTTTCTACTTTATTTTTTACTAGGGCACCTAAGGCATCTAGAGAAGATAATACAGAAACAAGTTAAACCGAAAAAAGAGCACTTTTTTCTATAACAAACTCTGCCTTAGGAAGTGACCCAGTAAAAATTTTAATATTTTTCTTTGGGCAGAACTACAATACTGCACTTTTTGGTAATCAAATGGGTCGGCCATAGTAATGTTATCATAACTCTAATCCTCTAACTACCAAGACCTTAAAAGTGACAAGAAAGTACCGGGAATTGAAAAGTAAATTATGATAATTTTGGCTAGTACTATTCCATAAATTCAACCAGAACTTTGAATACAATAACTTGTCAACCAAGAAGTGATCTGAAACTGGCGAACTAATAGAACCTTTCTGGTTTTTTACCAGTTTCCTGCCAGTGCCATGATAGTTTTAAACACTATCGGGCCACTATTATGGCGCCAAGTTGGATCCTCAAAATACATGTCCTAAAGATCAGCCAGAATTATGCTATAGAGCCGGCTAAAATTAACCATGAATTTACTGTACCACCCAATGCGATATGTTTTTTTGTATTTTGACGTGTAACAAAATAGGCACAATAAGTAAAAAAGATGCAAAGCAATAAAAACAAATAGTTATAAGCTTAGTCATAAAAAGACTACAGAGTACCAGAAACAGTAAGTAGATATCACTATAATCATAACTAGGTTATAGTAAAATCATATCTAGGTTACAGTATAATCATAACTAGGTTACAGTATAATCATAACTAGGTTGCAGTATAATCTTAAGTAGGTAACAATCTAATATAAGTAGGTTGCAATATATATATATATTGCAACCTACTATAGGCTATACAATAGCCAGCAAAGTATCAAAGGTGTATCTTTATAGTACAAAATCTTTAGTAAGTTTTGGATCCTGAGAGAAGCAAACAGTTGTTATGACAGGTCGACTTGGGCAGTATGCTTGGGTAACTTTTATTAGATAGAACTATATTCGTAAAAAATTATTGTATTTACATATGATAGTTACACGAGGTTCATATAAATAAAGGCATGACTGTTTAAAAAAATAAATAAATAAAAAATAACTTCAGTTTATTAATAAAGCAAGAATAACAACATGATCATTAATTTAATATATATATATATTATATATCTTTCTTTAAAATACTTCTTTAAAAAATACCTTTAAATTCTTTTTAAATATCTATTTTTCTTGTTTAAATACTATAGTACTTTAATATTTTTATATTTTATTACTTTTTATTTTGATTACTTTTTGTTATTTTTTTTTTTATATTTTTTTTATTAAATAGTTTTTAGTTAAATTTTGTATTTTGATTGTTTGATTTTGATTTATTTTGTCTAACTAGCACCTTATTTAATAAAGAGAAAACCTTCTACTACTAACAACTTGCAGATTAATAAAAAACTATTGCAACAATATCTTAATAACTAATTAAATTTGTTAATTATTTTAATTTTAAAATAATATACAGTACTATAAAATTAAAATAAAAAAATATATTAAATTTGATAAGATAGTTGCTAAAATATTTAAGTTTAAAGTTAAGAAAACTTTTATTTAAAAAAAATTTGGCTCTTTTTTATTAACTTCACTCTATATAGGGAGGAGTCAATAGAAAAAGGACAAATTTTTTCTAAGTAAAAGTTTTCTTGACTTTGAGCTTAAATATCTTGGCAATAATCTTATCAAATTTAATAATTTTTTTTTTATTTTAATTCTATATAATTTCAAGATTAAAATAAAAAAATTTTTAGCAAATTTGATTAAATAGTTGTTGAGATATTTTAATTTGAAAATTAAAAAAATTTTACTAAAAACGATTTGTCCCTTTTCTATTGACTCACCCCCATATACTATTGTATATATAGTATTACAGTATTATATAATATATATAGTATTACATTATATATTATATAATATATTTAAATATTATTTAACCAATTTAACTAATGCTAAACTTTTTTAATTAACTAGTTAAATTGGTTAAATTGATTAAATTAAGCTTAACTATTAACTAGTTTATACCACTCTAAATTTTATTATATTTTTTTAAAAAATTGCAAATTTAATAAATTTTATTAATAGATATACAAAATATATTGTAGTATAATACAATAATAATTTATTTATAACTAATATACAGTAGTACTAACTAACTATATACTTTATATACTATATATATACTGTATATATACTGTATATTAATTAATTTTAATTTAAATAAACTAGCTTCGTTAGCAAAATAGCTACTGTATAGTATATACAGTAAAATAATTACTATTAGCAAAATTAGTATTTCTAATACTAAATAATTAATCTTTAATTTTCTAATTGCTATATATTAAATGCAAAGTATTGACTGCTTTACTAGTTTTCGATTAATACCTATGGTGCATTTTAGCGTTGGTAAACCTGAGAAGTTAATTAATGGTAAGAATAATTAAAAGTTTATTTTTTGCGACCACTACAGTAATTTCTTTATAAAATGCAGTATTATATATACGTAATTTTAAAACAAATATAAATAAAAAAATTAAAATTGGCACATGTTTTATCTTACCTTGAAATTAGGGTAATTTTTTAAAACCCCATTCATGAAATTGCTATATATTCATATTCATATCACACATTAAATAATTGTTTATTTCGACCAGACTAATATTAATAAAGCTGCTTCATTATATCCGTTGAAGTAACGTGTCTAGTATTTAAGATAAAACCCTCATTTCGAACCCGTAATTTTTATAGATAATTTTACTTTGCAAAGTTTAATAAAATAAACTATGAATAATGTTCGGAAAACTACTCAGCCAAAAGGAAAGATAAAGCCACCAAAGAGATCGGTGAGTTTATTATACTTTTTTCCAACATGTACTTGCAATCAAGAAAGTATAAAATACTTTACCGCTAATCTAGAAATTGGGATCAAGTTACCGTAAGTCAACAATTGCTAGTTGGCTATTTAGTCTTTTTGTGATTTACTTTGCGAGTTGTCAGTAGGGACCGGAACTGTTCAACGACCGAAAAAACGGCCGACCAATAATATTTGCCGATAGTCTATATAAATAAATATTATACCTGCAGACTTAAAATTGTTCTTTTCATTGCAACATGTAAAATTCTCTCAACTAATTTAGAACTAAAATCATAACTTAAACTAAATATGAATCGTCGTTTACAGAATGCCGCAGATACCACATTTAGCGATAATTGGGACCGTCTAGCCCAAGCTATTCGAGAAATTCACAGAAAAAATGCGTCGATCTTAAGCTTCGAAGAGCTTTACCGTAATGCCTATAATATGGTCCTTCACAAAAATGGAGATAAGCTATACAACGGCGTGAGGGAGGTTATCACTCAACACTTAGAAGAAGTGGCTAAAGACCAAGTTGTTCCAGCTTTTCCAATGTCAGGTGCTAGTAGCTCACAAGCAAATTCCGCTAACGGCGCTGGTGGAGCAAATTTCTTAAAAGTGCTGAAAAGCGTTTGGGAAGATCATACAACATGTATGCTCATGATTAGAGACATTTTGATGTACATGGTAATTTATGAGCGTTATTTTGATTTGTACGCATTTCTATTTTGTTCATACCTATGTGTACATGAATCACTTTCTAATCGTTTATCATGTCTATAAAACGCATTATGCTCAAAGGATCGTGTATATGCCAAATCAGCGAATGTTCCTTTAGTCTACGAATTGGGATTAGAGCTCTTTAGGGATACCATAGTTCGATCCACAATATATCCCATTCAGAGTCATCTTTTGGACGTTCTTTTAAATCAAATCCTTCTTGAACGTGAAAACGAGATCATCGATCGTTCTAATATTAAAGCATCGATGGATATGCTGCTCGAGTTAACTGATACAAGTGCAAAAGATTCAGTTTACGCAACTGATTTTGAAGGACGATTTTTGGAGACTAGTGCTGAATATTATCGGGTTGAGGGTCAAATGCTCGTAGGAGAATGTGATGCACCGGAATATATGAAAAAAGTACATTACGCTTGTCATCAGCTTATATTTTTACAAAACTGTGTCATTAATTTGCCACTTTTACATTTATTTAGGTTGAGAAACGTCTTAATGAAGAAGAACAACGTGTGCGCCATTACCTTTCACAAACTACAGAACCGAAAATTAGAAGTATTGTAGAAGAAGAACTTATTTCTAAACATCTTAA